GACAATGTGGAAAGAGCCAATTTCTGTAGTTAAACCAGATGTTGTGATTAATATGAATCATTTCATCATATGACCATAGTGGTTAGCTTGACTTTTTCATATTCTTGCTTAATCAGAATATGTTCTCTATGCTATTCTTCCCATTATTTCTCAAAACAAACTCAACTACATATTGAAGACTAGTATCCCACAATTAATTTGGAATACTATGAGCAAGAATAGTTATTTAATAGTAAAGCATTTACCTATGTTGATAGTTGTGGTCCTAAATTCACCAAGGTCCCTTCCGTCGGGCCGACAATTTTCTTTCTATAAGGATTACCAAATCAGGCATACATAATTAATCTTATTAGATTACAGTATAGAAATTTGAGTTTAAAAATATCAGGATTTGACAAGCAAATTGGTATGATATGAATCATCTAAAACCAAAGGTATAATTATTTGGATTCAAATGCAAATATATTCAGATTTAAATACACCTGCTAAGTAAAAGCCGGTCACTGATAACCAAAAGTTGAATCTTCAATGGTAAAACGTTTGATAGGATTTTTTTTGTGTGTTTATTGAGGAAGTTCTGACAATATGAAAATAACCATTAAAAGACTGTGCGGACTGGAAAAATCCTGAATACATCTTGCTTTATTCTGGTCATATCAGATCTATTTTTAATTCAATCTGCTTCTATGGAGCAAGTGATGAGAGCCTCCAGATACTGCATGTCTATCTTCATACAAGGAATAGATTTGAAAAACACATTTAATATATACAGATATATACACTTTGTACTCACTAAGAATCTTCTGTAATATTCCAAAGGTTCTACAGTTCTAAAACAAATAGAAATTTAAGTATTTTAGAAACAGACAAATCAAGTTGAACATTTTTGGATAAAAATAACATTCCCAACTGGATAGTAATTTTGAATTTCCAAAGCAGCAGAAACTGTTTGTGGGGATGCCATCTGACTAGGATTTGTGGGATTTTAATAGCAATTATTGCAACCAAAAGAAGCAAATAAGATTTTTATGACTATTAGGCTAACAATCTATTCTCTCAACTTTTGCCCACTGTGGCCATTAAAATCTAGTACAACTGGCTGGGTCAGAGAGCAGTCAAAACCTCTTTATATGAGCAAATTATACCATTCCAGACAAATGGCTGTCCAGTCTCTGCTGGAAAACTTCCAGTAATGGAGCACCCACAACTTCTGAAGATAAGAACAGATTAATTGTTTTCAGTCCAGAAATTTCACTTTCACTTTAATAAGCTTCCACCTATTGCTTCTTGCCTGCTTTTAGGCACTTTGGAGAATAGGTCGACCCTCTCTTCTCTATGACAGACTCTCAAGTACTGAAAGACAACTATCATGTCATCCCTAGTCCTTCTTGTCATTAAGGCTAGACATACTTAGATCTCTTAGCTATTCATCATAGAGTTTAGCCTCCAGATCGCTTATTATCGTCATTGCTCTTCTCTATTGTTCTTCTCTGCACTTTTTCCAGGATCTCATCATCTTTTTTGAAATGTGGCAATCAAGTGTGGCCTCACTAGTGCAGTACAGAACGGTACTATCACTTCTCATGATCTTGATGCTATCCCTGTGTTGATACAGCCTAATCATGCATTAGCTTGTTTGGCAGCTGCAGCATACTGCACACTGCTGGCTCATACTTAAGCGGTTGTCCACTAGGACGCCTAGATCCCTCTCAGTTATTACTATTGAGCCAGATACTGCTTTTTCTTTTCTTTTCTTTTTTGCCTAGCATAGGATCTTACTTTTCTTACCATGAAACTGCATATTGTTGGATAGGGCCCAGTCAAGTCTGTCAAGATCCTTTTGAATCTTAAGTCTATCTTCTAAAGTGTTAGCTATTCCCTCCAATTTGATGTTGTCTGAAAATTTTATGAGTTCCCCTTCTTTCCTGTCATCTGGATAATTTATGAATAAGTTGAAGAATATTGGGCCTATGACAGAACCTTGGGTACACCACTGCACGCTTCCTTCTATGTAGATGTTAATTCCATTGAGAACTATCTGCTAAGTGTGGTTGGTCAGCCAACTACAAATCCATCTGATGGTGGTAATGTCTATCCCACATTGTCACTATCTTACAATTTGACAAATGCCTTACTGAAATCTAAGTAAACTATGTCCACACATTTCTCTTATCCAGTAATTTAGTCACTTTGTCAAAAAAGACAATAAGGTTTGTCTGGCATGATCTGTTTTTGACAAACCCATGATGACTTGTAGTAATTGTTTTGCTCATTTCTAGATGCTCACAAATGCACTGCTTGATTATCTTTTCCAGGATTTTCCCAGGTATTGATGTCAAGTTGATTGGTTCATAGTTTTGTGTAATCAGTTTTTTTCTTTTTTTGTAGATTGGAACTACTTCAGTTCCTCTGGCAGTTCTCCCATGCTACAGGAGCCTTGAAAGATTTGGTTTTGAAACCACATTTATCAGTATCTTCAGAATCCTGGAATGTAATCCATCTGATTATTTGAACTCCTCTAGAGTGGATACGTGTTCTCTTACCGTTCTTTTGCCCATTTTGACTTGTATTCCTATTCTATGTATCCTATTATGCTGTTTTTGATCAGTTGGACTACTTTTCTTTTGCGTGAAGACAGATGCAAAGAATGAATTCAGCAATCATGAGATATTATTGGAAGAAATTGGTGGGTTGGTAACTAAGAATCACAGTATTATTGTGGTTCCATTTCTGTCTGCTAACTAATTCCACAAGGTGGCAGTAGGCAATAAGGCAATGACTGATTCTCTGAGCAGGGCAGGGGACTACAGAGTTCCATTTTTTTCCTCTCTAGCTATTTGGTGTTTGAACTGGGGGAAATCATCCAAAGATTGGAAACACAGCATCATCAACATTCTAACAATTATTACATGATCACCAAATCAGAAAGATTCAAAGCAAAAGTAACTAAAAGTAAGGCCTCCTAGAGCCCCTGGACCATTCTTGCTAGGGGAAATTCCTCTAGCTTTCCAAGATGTTTTCTTTTAGAAAAGTTAAACATGTACCTATTCTGTGAAGTAAGAAGTTTTCCAAGGCCAAAGAGTCTTTAAGATTATTATTATATTGCTTTATTTTATATTACTTTAATTTTTGTAATGTATTTTGATCCTGGAGGAAATATGAGTACTGAAATAACTTAAAAAATGAAAACAAAAAACTATTTTTAATTGCCCCTTAAAGAAGAGTTAGACTCGGTGGATCAGGAGAACAAGCAAAAGTTTTGGTTAAGGATCAGGGGACATTCTTAAACAGGCCCCTCTCAAAACAGACAATCCAATTAAGCCAATTTCTTATTCTTTTTCATTGGTCCTCTTTCACTACTGCAGGAATGCATAAATCCTACCAATCTGAATGTGTTCTAAACTTGAATACAGCAGGTTGAGGGTATAATTAAAAAATACGCATTCGCACAAAGCTGAAACTCTCAGTGGAGGGCAATAACGATTCAATACATACGTGGAAGGATTTCTGCAGATTGTTTCTTGGTAAAGAAAAGTACACCTTTCTCCCTTTTTAACAGTAAGAAGCAAGGGACAACTTCCAGAAACCGAAAACGCCTGGTCGCAAATTGCGAGAATACACGGACGCGAGCGCTCGCGCCCAAGACCCTCCGGAACAAGGAACGGTTTTTGGGCACGAGGGGAAAGACTCTGCGCTCCCCGATCGGCAGGAAACAAACATTTACCTGAACGCGGCCGTTACGGTCGCCGCCATCGATACTTCACTGACTCCTTCGTTTAGCAACTGATATAGACTAAAAACAATCCAGCTGCGGAAGCCGCTACTAAATCGAGTCTGCAATGTAATTTGAATTAGGAAAAGGAGAGATTGGCACGTTGTCGGCAGTTTCGGCAAAAACGAAAGTGAGCGGTCTCCCGGATGGTAATGGTAGCTGGTGGTTAAAAAAAAAAAAAAAAACTTGACCTAATTTTCTGAATTCAATATTACGAGAATCTTACAGTTTTCCTTATACATATAAGTAAAGAAATGCAGAAATTCTGCATAGTTTGATTAATTTGATTACTTGGGTGGAGGATGATCTCTTGGATGAAAAGCTACGCTGAATTTTTTAAATAGGGGGTTGCAAACCACTTCCGTGATTGTTGCTAAGATTATTATGCAGAGGCACCTTAATGTCAAATCACGCATCGATTCGAAGGAAACTTGGTTTGTTTACAAGAAGACCGTCCGCATAAACCTGTCTTCTTTCACATAGTACTTTTCTAGTTCTTAAACAATTTACAAATCCTCTGCCAGTATAAACAAAACCGCTGCTTATTAAAGTTGTTCGCATTTTAAAGACCAGACTTACGGTAGACTGAAAGTAGGGGCACAGTTAATTTTGTACCTTAGAAAACGAACCGACGAGGAGCTTCAGAATACAAAAGTGCATACAAAACAGCTTCTCCAATACAAAACTGTTCGAAGATTGCTGCCAAAGATCTTCATTGCCGTATCAGTGCTCACTCAGACTAATTTCAACGGATAGAACAGAATAACAGACTTGGAGGTCTTCTCTAGTCCAGCCCCCTGCTCAGCAGGAGACCTATACTATACCATTTCAGACAAGTGGCTGTCCAGTCTCTTAAAAGCCTCCAGTTGCAGGCAACGTATTTTAAATAACCCCCATATGTTTTTCACACGACATGAATGTGTTTATCTCACATTCAAAAATGTGAATTTCAAAAAAGCATTTTTTAGTTTTGTCTTCCTAAATGCCTAATCACCTGAACCAATAGGCTGCGCCACACACCGGAAGCTCAGGCTTTCTCGTCCTCGTCATTCTTTCCTTCCGCTTTCGTGTCTCTTTCGATGAATCGATCTGAGGGCTGGCTGGTTGAACACGCCTGAGCGGAGAAGCGAAGTGCTAAAGTAGCGGACGATGGAACTGGGCTGGCTGGTCGAAGGGATCGTGGTATTAGCGACTGCAGGGCTGGCTCTGGTGAGAAGGGATCAGTGCTGGCCCTAAAGCATTTCGAGAATGAAGGCAGAAAGGCAAACTTCCTCGTAGTGGGCTCTCCTTTCTTACAATCTCGGCCTCCAGACTTATGTTCTTCATTTTCCTGACATTTCAGGAAAATTTGGCCTACGGGATTCATTATATCCGAGGTTCAACTTTATATCCGCAAATTTAACAAAAATGCCTCGGAATGCATGCAATACGTCCTTCCTAGAGTACGGAGTAAGCAGTTCACCGTCTCATTCTTCACAGACTTTAGGCAGTTTATAAATTCAAAAATAAAATTGCATTGTAAAACTTCAGTAATATCAGATAAGAAAAATGCACAAATATATAAATGCACATGCTTCTGACTACAGCTACATTGAGACATTTGGAGGGAGACATCAGTGGATTTCCACGTTTAGTTGTGCACTTCTTTTTCTAAGATTTTGCAATTCAAGTCTTGAGTTCATCTTTGTTTACATCATAGTTTTACTTAAAATTACTTTAATAACTTCTGATTTTTTAAAACTATATCTTTCTGGTGCACCCTTTGAGGTGTTGTTCTTATTACCTTGTCAGAGAAAGCTGGGCTGCTGACTTGGATACAGGTAGTCCTCAATTTACGGCCACAATTGAGCCCCAAATTTATGCTGTTAAGTGAGAAACTTAAGTGCCTTTTGCCCCATTTTAAAACTTTTCTTGCCATTCTTTGTTAAGTGAATCACTACAATTGTTAAATTAGTAACATGGTTTTTAAGTGAATCTGATTTCCTCATTGACTTTGCTTGTCAGAAGGTCACAAAAGGGGATCGCATGACCATTTATCACAATGGTCATAAATATGAACCATTTGCCAACCATCTGAATTTTGATCACATGATCATGGGGATGCTGCAAAGGTTGTAACTGAAAAATGGTCATCAGTCACATGCCATTGTAACTTTGAACAGTCACTAAATGAACTGTTGTAAGTAGTTCTTGTAGTTTTGTAAAAACCTGTAGTTTTTACTCAGAAATTTTTACTCAGAAACCTTTAGGAAAGGCTCAGAACTCAGCCTTTCCTAAATTAGAAACTAAAAGCCAAAAAAAAATTAAAAGCATGGGACAAAAGAAAAACTAATATGGCTTAATCTAATCAACACTATTCAGTATTCTTTTGTGTTCATTTATCTTTGCAAATGATCCTGTCATTTTATGCAATTTATATATTGCCTTTTGTTCTTTAAAACTCTCATCTCTTTTTAGGAGTTTATCAGCAGCATAATTCAGCTTCCTTTCAATCCACATACTCTCTTCATATGTTTGTTTTGTGCTTCAGTCCTCATTTACTTTCTCTATACAAAATATTCAGGGAATCGCTTTTAGTCCTGGTCATTCTTTTTTGTCATAACTATTTGCCAAACCATAACATGTAACTATCATCAACCTGTGAATTCCTACTTTCATATGCTGTCATAACAGTTTAAATAACCCCAATTCCTAATTTCTCATATATATTACTTTCATTCAAAAAGGAGTCATATCCTTTTTCTCAACATACAATATATTCCTCTATGTCTCTATGTCTTCATTTCATCTGTTACACATGAATGTTGAATACTATAATTTATTCTGTGTTTACATTTTGATTAGTGCATAGTCTCCCCCAATGCACACAATCTTGGACATTGAGATCAAATTTATTTCTTTTTCTTAATTTTATTTATCTATTCTCTATTCACTTTAAAAACTTTAACATGAATGTTTTAATCTTGCAAGAATGGTATTGCATTATTATTACAGCACTATCAGCTACTGCTCCTCTTTTACTTCCCTCCCAGATTGCTGTCATTGCATATATAACTGCAAGACAGTCACCAAGTATTTATGAATATGAAGATGAGAACTTATTTCTGAATGATAAGAAATCTGTGCCTAGCCTTCATGACCCTGCAACACGTGAACTTTCTGTAGTTATACCTTCATATAATGAAGAAGAACGATGTAAGAATAAATATTTATATATAAGATATTTTGCTTTATAAATTATTTTATCCTCAGTGTAGTTTTAATGAAACAAGATCTGCAGTTTTGCTTTTTTCCACATCTTACAGTACCATCAATGATGAATGAAGCTCTAGATTATCTAGAGATGAGACAGGTACGTATTTGCAATAATTCAGTAACATTTTTGAAAGTAGAATCTTCTGATTGTAAAAGAACAAAAACCCCTGTCAAATGAAAAATGGTTCTCTTTATTTTTATAGAAGCAAGATCCTTCATTCACATATGAGGTCATAATAGTTGATGATGGCAGCACAGATCAAACCACAAAGGTAGGAAATAAAGGATTCTTACAAACTTCAAATACTTGTCAACAGTACAGATGCTCTTCATGCTTATGAGCACTCATTCAGTGAGTGTTCAAACTTGTGATGGTCCTGAACAAGGTTGGGTTACAGTTAATCTTTGGAGTTTGACTGTTGTAGCATTAAATGACCTGCATGATTCTCACTTAATGACTTCAACTGAGATTGCCAGAATTGTTACTAAGCAATAAGATCACATGACATTGTGTTTTATGATTGAATTGCTTAGCAACACCAATTCTGGTCCTAGTCACTGTTATAAACTGAAGACTATCTGTTTTGTTTGTTTTTTGAAAAAGACTTCTTGTTGTTAAAGTTTAAAATCACAATACCAGAAACAATACATACATAAGAAAAAATATCAGAAAGCTTAAGAAGTAATTTTATCTATTCCATCTCTCATTATTATTGTTGGTGTTATTATTTTGAGGGTCTGATTCCAAGATATTTACAATGTTTATTATTAAGCCAGTGATTGCTCTACTTTGCAAGCTACCATTTTTATTTAGTGATAGAGAACTGAAAACCTTTTCCTTCAGTGTACACTCAACTGAGAACATGGTTGCCTATGTATGTCAGAATATCCTTTCTGTATATACCGTATTTTTCAGAATATAAGTCACCCTTTCCCCCACTCCCAAAAAGAGGGTGGAAATGTTGGTGCGTCTTATACACTGAATACAGCCATTTTTGGCCTCCCAAAGCCCCGCCCTGCTAGTCCCATTTTTGTGAAAAATGGGTCTGTTTTTTGAAAAAACAGGGTGCACAGAGTGCTCCTGGGGGCTGGGGAGGGCACAAATGCCCCAGTTTTTGCAAAAAGGGGGGTTTGCCGTCCCCCAGGAGCACTCTGCAGGCCTCCCAAACCCTCTGTGCGCCCCATTTTTCGCAGAAACAGACAAATAGCAGGGTGCATAGAGGGTTTGAGAGGCTTGAAGAGCACTCCTGGGGGCCGGGGAGGGCAAAAGCAGGCCCATTTTTGCAAAAAACGGGGCGCGCAGTGGGTTTGGGAGGCCTGCAGAGTGCTCCTGGGGGCCAGGGAGGGCAAAACCCCTTTTTTTTTTCTTACTTACCTCTTCGAAATCTTGGTGCGTCTTATACACTGATGCATCTTATAGTCCGAAAAATAAGGTACTGCAAATACGCATTTTTTGTTTTTTTTTATTTCTTGACTTTTCCCTTGCTTATATGTTACATTGTGGTAACAAAGCACAAAGAGGTGTGTGTGTGTGTGTAAAACAATTCACAGCTAGAATTGATTCTGCCAGAATAAGTATAATATATCTGTCAAAGTGATAATATATATTTGTCTAAAATAATTATCTCCTTCATTATGTGCATTTGTGTTCAAGTATTACATAGATTTATATAAACACTAGCATTAATTCACAGAGGACATTATGAAATATTTTAAATAACTGACAGTCTATTATGGTCTTACTGGAGATAATTTGAGAAAATGAGTAAAGAAAATGATGCATGTATTGTTTGTCAACAATCTTTGAAATAGAAAAATTTTGGGTAGAAAAATAATTTTTAGCTAGGCTATAGTTATACTTGTTTTAAGGACTTGGTTATTCATGATTTGTTTAGTAACAGAAATTAAACACAAGCAAGAATTAAGCAAAATAAATTGAAAGGGAAGTAAACTATACTAATTATTAGTAAATTATTTGGCCATTACATGCTGAATATTTATTCATTCATTCATTCACTTTGTATAGGCATCTATCTCATATTCATAATTCTGGGCAGTTTAATCATTAAAATACCAAAGCAATTCAAAAATTACAAAGAAAAAGAATCTAACTGTATTAAAACCACTACAATGAGCAGCCAAGATACAAAACATTCAAGGCATTCAAAATGGATTAGGCTCCATTCCATCACATTAGTCCTATTTATTGGTAAGATATACTGTGTGCACAATTATTAGGCAAATGAGTATTTTGACCATATATCATTTTTATGCCTATTTTCCACCTCCAAGCTGTATAAACTTGAATGCTTAGTGGATATAAGCATATCGGGTGATGTGTATTTATGTAATAAGGGAGGGTGTGGCCTAAGGAGATCAACACCCTATATCAAGGTGTGCATAATAGTTAGGCAGTTTCTTTTTCTCAGGCAAAATGGGCCAAATAAGAGATTTAACTGACTCTGAAAAGTCAAAAATTGTAAAAGTCTTTCAGAGGGATACAGCACTCTTGAAATTGCTAAGATATTGGGGCATGATCGCAGAACCATCAAACCTTGTGTTGCAAATAGTCAACAGGGTTCCAAGAAACATATTGAGAAAAAAGATGCACATTAATTGCCAAAGATTTGAGAAGAATCAAATGTGAAGCTACCAGGAACCCATTATTCTCCAGTGCTATCATATTCCAGAATTACAACCTACCCTTAGTGCCCAGGTGTTCAGTCAGAGACATGGCCAAGGTAAGGAAGGCTGAAATCCAACCACCACTGAACAAGACACATAAGTTGAAATGGCAAGACTGGGCCAAGAAATATCTGAAGACAGATTTTTCAAAGGTTTTAATGGACTCATGAGATGAGAGTGACTCTTGACTGACCTCATGGACAGGCCCATGGCTGGATCAGTAACGGGCACAGAGCTCCATTTTGACTCAGATGCCAGCAAGGGGAGGTGGGGTATTGGTATGGGCTGGAATTATGAAAGATGAGCTAGTTGGACCTTTTCAGGTTGAAGATGGACTCAAAATCAACTCCCAAACCTACTGCCAGTTTTTAGAAGACACTTTCTTCAAATTTGCCTAGGGCACCGCTAAGACATTCGGGGTTGACTGGATTATCGGAACACCCTCCTAGCTGTGCTCACCACAATCAAGAGGAGGATGAGAGGAAAGGTTTTCCTTGAAATGATGAGGAAAGACCCCCACCCCCCAGGAAAAGACAGATGGGTTCATTCTGATTGTATAAGACCAAGGCTTAGGAAACAAATACATACAAAACCAGAATTGAGAAGGGAGCAACAGACAGCAAATGCCACCTCTGTGAATATGCTGAACAAACAGTGGACCACCTAGTTAGCTGCTACAAGGAGATTGCATGAATGAATTACAAACAATGGCATGACAAAGTTGCAAAAATGGTGCATTGGAATATCTGCAAGAATTACTATTTGCCTGCCAACAACAAGTGGTGGGACCATAAAATTGACAAAATAATTGAAAATGAAGAAGCTAAAGTACACTGGGACTTCGGAATTAAAACAAAAGCATCTGCCACATAACACCTCAGAGTTAGCAATTGTTGATAAGAAAAGACAAAAAAGTCTCAACAGTGGACTTTGCAGTACCTGGAGACAGAAGAATGAAGGAGACGAAACTGGAGAAAACCACAAAATATAAGGACCTGCAAATAGAACTATAACAACTGTGGCAAAAGAAACCAAGATAGTATCAATAGTTGCAATCCCAAAATGTGGAGCACCAGTTGGACACCATTGGCATTGACAAAATCAACATCAGTCAATTGCAAAAGGCAGCTTTACTTGGGAACAGCTTACATCCTGTGACAGTATCTTTAACACCATGAAACAACATCTGTCTGGGAAGGATTTAATAGGTGAATAAATTAGCAGGAAAAAGATTAGAAAAATTCAAATGGCATTTTCTAAACAAAAAATATTTTTGCCTGATACATATATATTTGAAACTCTTGACTATCAATTAGTAGCAAGTATAGCATTCCAAATTGTGATTACTGTTGTTTTATTCTGATGTATTATTTTCTATAGGTTGCACTGAGGTACGTTAAGAAGTATGGTAGTGACAAAGTGAGAGTACTCACTCTGCTGAGGAATCGTGGAAAGGGGGCAGCTGTTAGAATGGTAATAAACTCACCTGCTTTTCCTTTAAGTTGCATATTTTCTTTCTCAGAGGAAACAAATGATTCAATCTTTACCTTTTAGTATGAACATTTAAATTAAATTCAAAAATATTACTGAAGGTACGGCAAACTTACTGTTTTCATATTTAGAATTTATAGTGCTTGATGTCTCTGGAGATTTTCAGTCATCTAGGTCATAGTTGTCCCAAAAGTGCTTTTCAAGAAGCAACTGAAGCAATGTGATATATGCAGTGTAATGTAGTGAGCCATGTGCAGATCTGTTTCTTTTGGGGAAACAAAACAACATAAATGAATGGTACTTTTAATATTTATTATACATGTCCATAAATTATTTTCATGTTTGAAAGACGTGATAAAATTAATATTGAAATGGATGTATTTAACAGTAATTTCACTTTTATGGCCATCTTTGAAAAATACTGCATTCCCCCCCATCTCATGTGGTGAGCCCATCTCTTTAGCAGGGATACAAAAGAGAATAATACATGCTTCCTGTAATCTTCTCCAAGAGACATGGAGTTTTGGTATTTTGTCTTTTTAAAAACTTAACATTACTTAACATTAAAATTAGCCAGAGAGCCAGTTTTATATAATGGTTAGAATGCTGGCCTAGAATCCTACAGATTGTGAGTTCTTGGCCTCCCTTTGGTATCAAAGCCAGCTGGGGGACTTTGGGCCAGTCATTTTCTCTTTACATCCAAGTTGTTGTTAAGGGAAAATGAGAAGAATTAGGTATATTTACTTGGTTGATGTATAAAAATATAATCATAATGGCTACATAAAATATAGACCTCATTTTAGTTTCTGGTTGAGTTGCCTAGTAGCACCTTTGTCTAGAACCATTGTTATTGTTCTTGACTAGAGATTGGCGAGGTTTGTAGCTATAATTCAAACAGAGCTTTGTGAAGTTGTTCTTAGTGTTGAATGTGACTATTGGTACATGGAAAGCTTATTGCATCATATTAGTTTTTAGTTTTTTTAAACAGATTATTCTATTTTAAACATAATTAAAAGGGAAACTGGCATGATGCAAAGCAAAGCATTAGTCTCCAGAGATATGATTTCACATAGGTTGTGCAGACAGTCTTACAGAATTAAAATGGTGGCTCACTGCAATTGTTTGGCAAAATCAGTATTCTGTTAAGCAGTCTCATTAATTTGGTTTCTGGCAAATTGCAATTAGTGACTGGCCATGTCCATTGTGGCATCCATTTTGTGAACAGGCAGTACACCCCGTACTAGCAATATGATTGTGTTCATGCTGTCAAATATGTTCTCTGGTTATAAAGTTAATACCTAAATTATAATTTTGGGGAGAGGATTCTATCAAAACAAAGTATGACTTTTTTGTCTTTTCATAATAATCTGCTGAACTAATTTAGGTCCTTACATATTTTTTTAACTGCAGGGTGTATTTTATTCACGAGGAAAAAGAATATTGATGGCAGATGCTGATGGAGCTACAAAATTTAAAGATATTGAAAAAGTAGAAAAAGGTCTTGAGAGTCTCCAACCCTGGCCTGTGAGGTTCTATTTGTCTACTTTTTCTCCTTTTTGTTGGATTAGTAAGAAGATAAATATGTTTCCTTTTTTAAGTCTTAAGACAGGATCCAGAGAAAATTGAACATATTTAATTTCTTAAATTGTGTAGGATTAGAGCAAACATCTTTTATCAGGTTTGCATACATTTTTTAATGCTATGTTCTAGTTTGAGATTTGTAGTTTGGGATTACTGCAAAATATTCCCTTTTTCTACATGCAAGGGAGTTTAGGCTCAAGAAATTAAATTTTGGAGCTGATGGAAAAGTAGTATGAGCATTCTCATGTGATTATTTTTTCCCTCTGTTATCATTTGCATGCCCTTTGGAAACACTATAATCAAATGTAATTTCTTGTTGCCATTATTTTTTTAATTTAGTTTTAATTTAGCTGAGCTGTTTCTTCAAACAATATGCTTTGCATCTTATGGAAGTACAAAGCATCTTTCTTTGAATAATGAAAGCAGCTGCATCATTTTCTAGGCTTAGCCAGCTGCTTTAAAAGCTGCTTCCAGGTCTCTCTCTATACATGTACATGGCAATCATTGTGTCTCAAAGAAACAGCAGGAGCAACTTATAAACTCACCACATGCACCTGGAAGAAGATACAATGGCTTTTATGAGTTGAAAGGAGTGCTTATATGAATATAATTTGGAAACTACCTGTTCTTTACTCTGCTTCCCTTAAAGCTGTTAATGTTTTTCCCTCTAGGAAATGATGGCTATTGCCTGTGGCTCTCGGGCTCACTTAGAGAAAGATTCCATAGCACAGGTATATTTTTCTTGCCTCTGTTTTTTTTCTTCTGCACCTACTGTCAGACTATTCCTTATAGACAGATATAAATGCCTTCTTTTTTAAAATCAAACCTATCCTCCTTTACTTTGCACAATCTCTGGTTGGAATGCAGAATGCGGGCTCTTATTCAGCAGTATACAGCCAGCCTAAATAACTAACACATTCATTACTACTGAGTATTTCTAACACAATTATCAAAGTCTCCATTCTGTAGTCTCTAAATTGAACAGTTATTTTAAAGTATTTTTATTAGATCAAACTAATTAAGAGATTAAAAAGTATATATACAACAGTATTAACAATATTGTGTAAGCACTAATTTGAAATGATAATGATAAAAAAAGTAAGAAGGGAAGGCCTAGGTTCCTTTTAAACAGAACAACTTCAAACCCCCTCCCGCCACATCTTTTCCTTGCCCTTTGTGGAAAAAAAATTCAAATGTTAACAAACAACACATATCAGTAGATCTTTACTGCATATGAGATGCAGATTTATCTTTCCAGTTTTTTTATGGTAATTGTTTTAGTTGATTTCCATACAAGGAAAATTTACAATACCTGGTATCTTAGAAGATTACAAGAGATATAGCAAAGAATATCAGTTCAGGAATATTGAATGCAGTGTTGATATTATTGCAAAATGGAGCAATAGGATAGGTTCAGACAACTATTAGTTAATGTTCCAGTCCTGAGTTGTATCTCCAAAAACTGATTATAAATAGTTCTTAAGTTGTGACTGTAATAGGGCCTGGTCATTCCAGTCACAAGAAAAATTACAGAATTACGGAAAAAACAGTTGGAAGGGACCTTGGAGGTTTTCTGGTCCAACCTCTTGCTCAAGCAGGAAAATCTATATCATTCTGGACAAATGACTGTCTAATCTCTTCTTAAAACCTCCACTGATTAATTGTTCTCACTGAAAAGAAATTCTAGGTTGAATCTCTTTTTATTAAGCTTCCATCCATTACATCTGGTCCTGCCCTGAGGTGCTTTGCAGAAGAGCTTGACTTCCTCTATGAGAGTCCCTCAGATACTGGAAAATTGCTATCGTGTTAATCCTAGTATTTCTCTTCATTAGACTAGACATATTTAATTCCTGCAATCATTTGTTGTTTAGTAAACAAGGCACCCATGTGATTGCCCCACTTAACGACCCCTACTCTCCCTGATGTGAATGTTGAGCAGAGCAAACTATGCCTCGGGTGTGGGAGGTCTAGTAACTTAGTAGTAAACAATTTAAATTTATACTGTGATTTAAACATAATATTGGCAGTGTATTTTCTGCATTATTGGATAAGTATCTCAGATCATTTAGTTCAAGATGGACCACATTGGAAAAGCAGGGTTATAAATACAATATTTCAGATTTTATTTGAAATGCCGATCTCTTGTTCAAGTATAATTCTAGAAATACGTTGAACATAAAATATTCAGTAGGACTGGGCGGTACTATAAATTCAAAGAAAGAAAGAAAGGTGCTTCAGAGTTTGTGTTGGTATATTCATAGCACTGCTAGCATATAAATATCAGTGCTGCTCTTGCACTTTGGTACATTTGTTCTGTAGAAAATTCTTATTTTTTCTTCTTATACTTGTCATAGAGAATATAGCTTATATGTAGTTCTGGTGAGGTGATCATGGTAAGCTTGTTATAGTAAGGTGATTTTGGAAACAGAAAAGTTCTAGAATGCATTTGTTTTCTTTACTTTAGACCTAATATCTTGTGTATTTTGTTTACAGCGTTCATACTTCCGAACCTTTCTAATGCATGGATTCCACTTTCTAGTCAGGTTCCTTTGTGTTAAGGATATCAGAGACACGCAATGTGGTTTTAAACTCTTGACTCGGGAGGCTGCTTCTCGGACATTTTCAGCTCTTCATATAGAACGTTGGTTGGTATATTTCTTTCAGTTAATTGGAAACTGGTAATGTGTGCAAGGTTATGATGCATAATCCAGTATGTACATATATATGCTAAATAATTTTATGACTAGAATGCAAAAGCTTTCAGGCATTGCAAAGACTTTTGTATATTCACTGGGTCTTCTTATTTTCAATTTATGAAGATAGCTCTTCGTGCTTTTATCAAAATTAGAAGAGTTACTTTTTGTCTCTAGGACAGACCAATATAATGCAACTAAGGGCCACATTGATAAATTAAAAATAATCCTGGGTTGCAGTGGAGTAGCTGCTAGGTCTTTCTATGGTAGCAGTCAGTGAGGCTTGGAGGTGCTAAGCAGCATGTCTTTTAGAGGGGAGATGACTGCAAAGAACTAGACATCAATAGTTCTTTTCTTGTGGCAGTGATGCTTAGCAGCAGTGAATTTGTAGACTTTTCCAAAAGTGCTACAGATCTTATGTTATACAGGCCTGCTTTAGATATCATTTAGATAAGTAAAAGGATGCATAGCTATCCCAGTGAAGTTCAAATCTACTTTTAAAAAAATACTATTTATTTAATCAGCAGAAAAAAATAATAGAAAAAGGGTCCCCCTTTTCAAAAAAAAAAATACATATACATTTACACTGGAGGAAATGGATGAACTTTTTGCTAATCTGTTAGCCAAAGTATGAAGGAAACTACAACACTGTCATAATGGGAGACTTTTAACTACCTTGACATCAGCTGGGAAACAAAATCTGCAGTGAGTGGGAGATCAAACAAATTTCTGAATGCCTAGCTGACATCTTTGTCATCCAAACGCTGAAGGTGGGAACAAGAGGGTTGGCTATACTGGACATAATCCAAACTAGTATGGATCAAATGGTTAAGGGAGTACTCTAAAGCACCTGAGGACAGGACAAGAAACAATGGATGGAAGCTTGTTAAAGAGAGATCCAAACTAGAACTAAGGAGAAATTTCCTGGCAATAAGAACAATCAATGGAACAGCTCTCCTCCTGGACTTGTAGGTGCTCCATCACTAGAGGATTTCAAGAAAATATTGGACATCCATTTTTCCAGGATAGTATAAGATCTGCCTTGGGCAGCGGGTTGGATTAGAAAATCTTCAAGGTCCTTTCCAGCACTATGATTCTATAGGATGTAAATTCATGTATGAATGGAATGGCCATAAGAGACACTAGTGCTTTTCATATAAGCTGCTTGTGAGACTTTGCTGGTGAAATTGGATCCTACGAGCCAAATGGGATTGCTGCAACTATACCAATCTCCTTGCCTCCCCACTTGATCTGCTTGAAGTTCTAGCTGGATTGACAATAAAGTTCCCCAAACAAACGGTACAGAGGGACTTTAATCTTCCTTTACAGGCACAGACAGTTGGAATTTCATGACAACCATGGACCTGACTCATATCAATGGTAACATATTAGACTAATGGGTCTAGTTGGCTTTCAGAGGTAACCTAGAATTATTCCTGTGGTTCTGATGCATGGTTTGACTTTGACCCTGATTTCCCTTTGGAAAGAGAATGATCACTTTCTTATGAGATCTTTTCGAATTCTTTCCATTTTTATGGCTGTAATACTGCAATGTGTACCATATTAGCTGATGCGAAACATGGACAAAAGCTTTTTCTAGATTAAGGAAATGTGTAATGACTTCTTTTTTTCTCTGCTCTATGAGCACGCAAGCTGCAAAAATGACACTGGTGGTAGTCAAGCCTTTCACAAAACTCTTCTTGGTGCTGATTTCAGCGATGTCACAGAGATGGCGGTTGAAGATTCGCTCAAAAAAATTCATTGTGTATGACAGGAAGGGGATTGGTTCATAGTTGGTGAAGCCTGCTTGGTTGCCTTTATTCTTGAAGAGAGAAACAGTAACAATTATGGCACAATTAGTAGGTACATGACTAGAATCCATAATGACATTGAAGAAGCTTGTCAACTATTCAGTTGCTGGGCCATGAAGTTCTTTCAACTTCTAGATATCTGACTAGTAAATTATCTGAGCTATATGCTTTTGAATTCCTCATGACATTGATAGGTAGTCCAGTTCTTTTCATTATTATGTAGCAGCCCTTCCAGTTAACCAATAGTTTGCTTTCTGTACTAAGTGATAATAACAACACTTGGTCTTTTTCATTGAACTGCTGTAGTTTTAAACCCTTATCATCTTACCTCTTCTGTTCTTCCCTGGCTCTTCCTAAACATTCTTGGGCAATGTGTCCTACCACCCTTGATTTGTTTCTCCGGGTTAATATGCATTCTACCCATGTTTTCCCGAAAATAAGACCCTGTCTTTTTTTTTTTTTTTTGCCACCAAAAAAGGCACCAGGTCTTATTTTCAGGGGGATGTCATCCACTGATTCACCTCACTTATGCATGTCACCCCCTGGCCTCTTTTTCACTATCAGAGGCCTTCATCTGGCAAGACCAGTAAGGCTTTCCTGAAGGTCTCTGCAGCCAATAACAGAGCTCCAGATTGATTTGGAGTTCTGTTATCGGCTACAGAGGCCTTCTGGAAAGCCTTGCCAGCTTCAGCAAAAGAAATGGGCCAAGGTGTGTGAGGCCTGGCTGCAACTGTCCAAAGGTAAGTAATATGGAAGCTCCACCCCCCCCATCCCCACCCTAGCTTAATTATTACCTGTGCACCCTGGAGTCTTAATTAGGGCTTATATTGGGGGGTAGGGCTTATATTGGGCGCACATATAAAAATCAAGCTAGGACTTACTTTCTGAGTAGGTCATATTTTGGGGGAAACACAGTATTAAACTGTAGAAGCTTTCTAAATTTTCACACAACCCTTCCTTAATAACTCCCAACCTATTTTGAAGTTGCCTCCCAACTTTTAAATCCAGTGGACACCTTTGGGATTTGCCTATGGGCCAAATACCTAGAGTACTAGAAATGGCAGCCAAGTATCCTAACTTTTTGGTTTTGTTGACTTGCATATTTCGAAGCATAGCATCCAGGGTCTGATGGATCTTTTTAGTTATGCCATCTGCCTAGGAAAAATAAGGAGTGGTACACACTCCTGTTATCCCTAAATCAGGGTAAAGATATTTAAGTAGGACTGAGTGAAAATTAGATGCTTGATCCATGAGGATCTCCTTTAGTATTGTACTGATTGTGACCAGTTTCTTTGTTATTTATATTTATTAATGGAATTGTTTTCAAATAACAAGTTGCATAGTGATATACAATTAGGATATACAGTATTCCTTTACTGGATTGGAGCAGAGGGCCCACAATATCCATGGCTATTTTGAAAAAAGAAATGGGAAACAAGAACACTCTCCCTGGCTCCTCTTCCACATTCCTGTACACACACATGCACCAGTCAGCTGGCCTTCGCGTACACGGGAGCGCCGAAACCCGGAAGAGCAGCATTCCATTGTGCATGCACACGCTGGCACCGAATTTCCAGGTTTCCATTACACACATGCCCGATAGCCAGCTGTTCATCGCGCACACCTCTGTGCCAGAAACTGGATGTTTGGGTGCTGGCGCGCACATGCGTGGTGGAACACTGCTCTTCTGGGTTTCAGCGCTCCCGTGGGCACGAAGGCCAGCAAGCCCGTGCGGTCCAAGCGGGATGGTTTTGCGTGCCACTTTTGGCATGCAGGTCAGCACGCAGTGACATAAAAGGTTAGCCATCACTGGACTAGAGCCCCTCAGTTCCCCTATTAAAGTGACACAGCTGTTTAAAGTGACACACCTCTTGTTTATTCTCCTTCTTTTCTTCTGCCATACTGGGCTCTTTCATTACTCCTACTACTTTAGTCTCCTCCCTCAAGCCCTTTGTTGGAATCAAACCTTCAGCAATTGGAAAATCTATTCCAATCATTAGAGTACATAATAATTTGGGGATTATACCTGTCACCATTATTTATTCATTTGACTATATTTTGGCTGTAACAAATGGGAGTCTGTACAACTCAAGTGTCCACAAACATACTTGTGAGTTTTTCCCCATATATTTATTTATTTATTTATTTATTTTATTCAATTTGTATACCGCCCTTCTCCTAGTGGACTCAGGGCGGTGCACAGCCAGAGCTAAAACACATACCAATACAAAATTTATAATTATTAAAAGAATTACATACTTTGGCCCAAATTTAAAACAATTCAAATTAAAACCCATTGACAAATTAAAAGCTAAAAAACTAAAAAAAAAAAGGGGGGGGTTCACGCCAGCCCTGCTTGATGGAAAAGGAAAGTTTTCAGGGCATGGCGAAAGACCCGGAGATCTGATATCCTTCGAATCTCAAGGGGGCAAATAGTTCGAGAGGGCAGGAGCTGCCACAAAGAAGGCCCTCCCCCTGGGGGTCGCCAGCCAACATTGCCTGGCTATATAAATGCAGTCCTCAACTTACAACAGTTCACTGAAAAAAGTGACATGACCATTTTCACATGACCATTGCAGCATCCCCATGCTGCACATTATCAAAATTCAAGTGCTTGGCTGACTCATTTATGACGGTTGCAGTGTCCCAGGGCCATTTGATCACATTTTGTAACCTGACAAAGCAAAGCCAGATTTGCTTAACAACCAAGTCACTAATTTACCAACTACAGTGTTTCACTTAACAACTGTGGCAAGAAAAATTGTAAAATGAGGCAAAGCTCACTTAACAAATATTTCACTTAGCAACAGAAATTTTGGGCTCAATTGTAGTCGTAAGGTTGAGGACTACCTGTACTGCCTTTTTACTAAATGAGGATATACAAAAGTCTTTCTATTCCCACTGGCCACAGGTTGTTAATTGTTTATTAGGACAGCCCTTTATTTCAGAGAGTCATCCTTTAGCATTTATTTATTTTTTAAAAATTCACTTTTCTGTCATTTTGGTTAATTAACTTTCATCATACAAATGGTATCACTTAACACATTCTTTTTTTTTTTCAAATAATTTTTATTGAGTATTTTACATTTTTAAAACCAAACACACAATAGCAAAACAAGAGGGAAAAAAAACACATACACTTACGTCAAACATTAAAATACAATACTAACAACAGATATATACAATTTTACAACTTTCTGCATCGACTTTACTCTTTACTCTTTACTGTCTTTACTCTTATCTTCCCGCTCCTTCTCTTTATTTTTAAATATTCATAATTAACCTTTTTGTAAGCAGGGTCATTATTTACATTTATATCCAGTATATTAATATCAAATTTCACTTTATATTCTTATTTCTTAATTTGATTTTTGTTTTCTAACCATGTATAGAACCTGTTCCACACTTTGAAATAATCCGAGTTGTCTCTTTCTTTGATCTCCATCGTTAATTTGTCCATTTTGGCGCATTCGAGGATTTTTTTAATTACTGTTTCTTTCGATGGTGCATTGGTCGACTTCCACATTTGCGCTAGAGTAATTCTGGCTGGAGTAATCCAGACTTTTTTCCATTTTTCTATCAATCATTCCTAGGAGGAACATCTCCGGTTTAAAATCCATCTTTTGGAATGTAATCTCTTCCAACCACCCTTTATTTTTATACCAAAATTTCCTCACCTTAGGGCATATCCACCACACGTGGTAGTATGTCCCTAGTTTGTGACCGCATTGGGGTGATAGGTTGGGGTACATTTTTGCCAATCTCCCTGGTGCTAAATGCCACCTATAAAACATTTTATAGCTGCTTTCTTTGTATGATACTGCCATGGTCAATTTATAATTTTTTTTCTCACAATTTTTCCCATTTATCCAATTCTATGGTATGTCCGAATTCCTAGCACAACTTATCGTTTCCTTTACTGTTTCTTCTTCCAATTTGTATCCTAATAGGTAATTATAAATACTTGTAATTATTTTTCTTCCCAATCCTAATATTAATTTAGGATTAGTTAATTGTTAATTAATTAACAATTCCAGTTGTTTCCTGTTTATGCCAAATTGTTCCTTATCTTTTTTAAATCTAATTTTGATTTCTAAATATAGCTACCATTCCAAATTTATTCCTTATTTTTTCAGATCTTGTACTGATTTTAATTCTCCTTTTGTGTCTAATAAATCTGCGTATCTCACCATTTTATCTAGGTCTATGGTATTTGGATTATCATTGCTTCCATTGTAGACAACCAAACTGGGACTTTCATATAATGATTCTTTTTAATCTTTTCCCATACTTTCAGTAGTGCGTCTCTTACCTTGTGACGTTGAAATTAAGTGTGTGATTTATTTTTCCCATTCCATAGAAAGCCATGCCAACCGAGTTGGACGTCATGGCCTTCTATCGTTAATATCTGCTTGTTTTTAAGTTGTATCCAATCTTTAAGCCATGTTAGGGATGCCGCTTGATAGTAAAGTTCCCATTCTGGTAAACTGAAACCTCATTTTTTCCTGCTATTTTGCAGTAATTTGAATTTAATGTGCGGTTTTTTCCCTGACCATATGAATTTTGATGTCAATTTGTTCAGTTGTTCAAAAAAAATTTCCTAATGTTATTGGTACTGTTTGGAATAAATATAGTAACTTGGGTAATATGTTCATTTTTATCGTCAAAATTCTGCCAATTAATGATATTGGTAATTTAGTCATGTTATCCAAATCTTTTTGTATTTGTAATAGGAGTGTATCATAATTGTCCCTCTTTATGTACAAGTTCTGATGGCCAAATTCCTAAATATTTAATTTTTCTTTGTTCTCGAAATTCCCAGCTCCTCCTCTAGTTGTTCACTCTGTTGTTTAAATTTTTAATCAATATTTTAGTTTTGTCTTTATTCATTTTAAATCCTGCTACCGCGCCAAATTGGTTTATGTCTTGTAATAAAATGGGTCCAAATTCCTCAATAATAAATGCCAGATCATGTGCGAATGCTTGGACCTTATATTCTTGTGACTTAATTTTTAATCCCTTTATTTCTGGATTATCTCTAATTTGGGACATTAATGTCTCCACCGACAGAATGAACAACAGAGGAGACAGCGGGTAGCCCTGTCTTACTCCTTTAGTTATCTCAAAACTTTCTGTTTGTTTCCCATTAATTATTATATTTGCCCTCTGTGTAGTGTATATAGCTCTAATCCTATCTATAAATTTTTCTCCAAAATTCATTCTTATTAATTGGCTTATCATAAAGTCCCAGTTTAAGTTGTCAAAAGCTTTTTGTGCATCCAAAAAAAACACAACTACCTGTTTTTTGGAGTGAGCTTCGTAATATTCTAATGCATTGATGATAATTCTTATATTATTTTTTATATATCTGTTGGGTAGGAATCCATTTTGATCCGAATGTATAATTTCAATATATTTTTAATTCTATCCGCTATTATGGCCCTAAATATCACATTCTTATACATTCATATAAAAATTGAATTGTCTTTTTAAAATAAATTTACATACATTGTTGAGTTTAATTTTTTTTAAAAAATTAAAATAGGTGTTTTGTAAAATTTTCCTTGGTTTTGCTCTTAAATTTTGCTTTGTACAGCAAAATTATAAACAATTTCATTTTTATGCCAATGGGTCTTTTTCAGATGTGTTCTTTTTTAGGTTTTTTTTTTCTTTATTTTTTCTCAGGAGAATATGGTCACTGTAGATATAAATGTAGCTCCTAAACTGCCTCAGTAGAAGGGAGATACATAGTATTGGTATAGGATTACCTTTTTCTTTGACATAGTAATCAGTTACTTCCCTAGCTGGAAGTCTGCTATAATAAGACCTTAAAATCTTTCCTGTTTTAAACTGGGTGCCCTTTCAAATGTAGCAAAATAAGCTTTTATATTCCATGGTTAATTTAGGATGTTGATATCTTTTTCTCTCTCCCTCCAGATCTGGTCTTAGTCCTCTTTTTTAAATTAAGCCTTTCTTCTTGCTATTGCCTCCACTTTTCAGTTATGATATTGACCTAAGTATCTGGGCCTAGCCCTTTTTCTGGCTGTTCTGTATTGTTTTACTACAGGTTTAGGATGGACACTTGCCCCTTACCTTCTCTGTGTCCAAAGGAGAAGCAGTCCCTCTATGTTTTCCATCTTTTTTTGTTTAGTGTAAACTCTACTGAAGATTGCATATTTGAGCTCCTTCACTACCAAGGAGATGCCCCTCCTACATGTGAGCTACTTATAATGCCTTCATAAGAAAATATTCACAGTAAGTTGAATTGATCCTGAGTGGCAACAATGGAGTTTTTAGGCACAAACCAGTGACCTAAGAAACCAAATTGTTTGTATTCACTGACCAAAGGTAGTGTAGCTAGTATACTAACTTACTAGGAAGGGACAATTAGAAGTTATCTAAAATATTCCAGCATTATACAATAATTAAAATGCCTTTTCTTTTGTCATCTCTTTGAAAAGTAGTAATATATCAGTTCTGGTTCTGCTTTTCTCACGGCTGCTTAGCAAACTGCCAGTGCTTTGCTGGGACCCAGTGTACTCTGTAGTTGTTTACATATTCAACTCTATCTTGAAACTTCAGAATGACTTGGTTGTTTTAAGTGAGCAGGATTTGGCCATTTCTCAGGAACACCCTTCAAATGTAGTTTTAAAAGCCTGGCTTCTGGGAAGGTGTGGTGAACTCTGTGAAAGATGACTCTGCAAAAGCAGAGCCAGTGAGTGCAACAAAGAACAAGGAATCATTGAGTAGAACTCTCTGGATAAGGAGATGACCAGAAATCACCTGCACATACTCCAGACAACTACTTCTTGTGAGGAGACCACAGGATAACAGTTTTCTGTGGGTTTGAGTGCTGGCTGATGAGATTAGCCATTTTGCTTGCAACAGCAGTGGAGATTTTTAAAAGACAAAGTTTGCAAACATGACTTTCTACTCACTTTTTGAAATTGTTTATTAACTACTTCTAAACTATTAGCTTTGGACCAACAAATCTGAAAACACTGGGTGAGTCTGCCTTCAATCCTGAATGAAAGAAAATTTTAATCATAAGTTTTAAGAACTTAAAAGTCTTAAATAATGAGCAAAAATAAAATTTTGGTCTTAAAAAATTGTAAATACACTAAGGATCCAGATAAATTTGATATATTGAAACGTTTACAATAAAATTTTGGATTTAATTATAAAAATACAGCTTCTCTTGGAAAATATTTTTGTCTTTATTTTTACAAGAAAAAACAAGCAATTTCATGAATTCAAAAACTGGACACTAGGGAACACTAAAGTTTTTAGATAAAGAAAAGATTTACAAAGCTGCAAAATGTTGCCAAATGTTCTAATAATGAAAATACTGAAGACGACTTGAAGAATGAAATCAGAAAATAGTAGCCACAACATTGGGCTTCCAAATGAAGAAATGGTGGACTCAATTCTGCAAAATTTCTTAATAAAAATTATAAATTTTAGATTTAAAGGCGTCAATATGTTAATCAGATATATTCTTATCTTTATAGGTCTTACTTATATAGGTTACTTTCCTGAGGCATGAAACTGGAATTTTAACCCATAGTTTTTGTTTTTGGCTTCACTGATAATAGTAATTAAGTTTTTTATTATTACTACATACTAGTATGTTTTTAATATGCTGTAACTTGCCTAGTGTTGCTTAGAGGATTAAAATGAATAATGAATAAAATGAATAAATATACAAATATCTACTTTTATAGTTGGAAAAATAAGAAACATATATCACAATTATTTTTATTTCATGATAGAAAATTTTAAATTGGCAACATTATTGTCATACGCGTATGGAAATCTATTAGAAGAATTTGAAAATATTTATTCTGTTCTTCTTCCAGGGCTTTTGATGTGGAACTTCTTTACATAGCTCAAAGCTTTAAAATCCCAATATCAGAGATTGCTGTCAATTGGACAGAAATTGAAGGTCAGTTGAAAATTTTACATTTTGTGTCATTTTGATCAGTTCTAGAGATCAGGTGAGTTCCACTGGGTCGGTAGTCTTAATATATTCCCCATGATAATATAGAAAGGTTAAATTATTGTTCCACAAGACTTTCTAATACAGGTAGCCCTCAATTTATGACCAGAATTGAACCCAAACTTTCTGTTCCTGAATGATACATTTATAAAGTGAGTTTTGTCCCATTTTACTACCTTCCTTGCCATAGTTAAGTGACTCATTGGAATTGTTAAGTTAGTAACATGTTGTCAAGTGAATTTGGCTTCCCCATTGACTTGGCTTATCAGAAGGTTGCAAAAGGTGATCACATAACTGTGGGATACTGCAACTGTCATAAATATGAGTCAGTTGCTAAGTGTCCAAATTTTGATCATGTGACCATGGGGATGCTGGAGTGGTGATAAGCGTGAAACACAGTCCTAAGGTTTTTTTTCCAGTGCCGTTATAACTTTGAACGGTCACTAAATGAACTTGTAAATCAAGGACTACTTGTGTAGTTATTAAGAAAATTAAGCTACCGTATTTTCCGGCGTATAAGACGACTTTTTAACACATGAAAATCTTCTCAAAAGTCGGGGGTCGTCTTATACACCGGGTGTCGTTCTCCTGTAACCAGGCAGACAGCCTGAAAGGCTCTGACGAGCCTTAAATGGCTCTGGCGATCCAAGCTCTGATGATCTGCTAATCAGGCAACTCAGTTGGGATCGCCAGAGCCATGGAGAAGGAAAAAACTTTTCTCCTTTCACATGGCTCTGACAATCCAAGCCCTGATGATCTGCTAATCAGGCAACTCAGTTGGGATCGCCAGAGCCATGGAGAAGGAAAAAACTTTTCTCCTTTCACATGGCTCTGGCGATCCAAGCTCTGACGATCTGCTAATCAGGCAACTCAGCTGGGATCGCCAGAGCCATGGAGAAGGAAAAAACTTTTCTCCTTTCACATGGCTCTGGCGATCCAAGCTCTGACGATCTGCTAATCAGGCAACTCAGCTGGGATCGCCAGAGCCATGGAGAAAGAAAAATCTTTTCTCCTTTCACATGGCTCTGACAATCTAAGCCCTGATGATCTGCTAATCAGGCAACTCAGTTGGGATCTCCAGAGCCATGGAGAAGGAAAAAACTTTTCTCCTTTCACATGGCTCTGGCGATCCAAGCTCTGACGATCTGCTAATCAGGCAACTCAGCTGGGATCGCCAGAGCCATGGAGAAGGAAAAAACTTTTCTCCTTTCACATGGCTCTGGCGATCCAAGCTCTGACGATCTGCTAATCAGGCAACTCAGCTGGGATCGCCAGAGCCATGGAGAAAGAAAAATCTTTTCTCCTTTCACATGGCTCTGACAATCCAAGCCCTGATGATCTGCTAATCAGGCAACTCAGTTGGGATCGCCAGAGCCATGGAGAAGGAAAAAACTTTTCTCCTTTCACATGGCTCTGGCGATCCAAGCTCTGACGATCTGCTAATCAGGCAACTCAGCTGGGATCGCCAGAGCCATGGAGAAGGAAAAAACTTTTCCCCCTCCAGCTTGCTTATCTTAGCTGCTTGCCTTGCTTCGCTTGTCTGAATCCATTCCATCAGCAAGCAACTCCCTGTCTGCAATCAAGCAGGCAGGGAGTTGTGGACTTCAACTCCCAGAATTCCTCAGCCAGCAAAACAAAGCTGGCTGAGGAATTCTGGGAGTTGAAGTCTACAAGTCTTAAAGTTGCCAAGGTTGGAGACCCCTGTTCTATTGGGTAAGTTTTTCCCCCCTTTGGGATCTTTAAAAAAAATAGTTAATTGGGTTTTTTTTTAGTTGTTCTTTTTTAGACCTAGCCATTTAAAGTTTAGGAAGTTTTAAATTTAGCTTTCATATAAAAATAAAATAAAATAATATTTGTGCAGCTTTCTGAGATTTAGTATGTTTTTGTAGTGTTTCATTCTAACTACACAAACACACAAAATCTCACAAAGCTGTATGTGGAATTTTGTGTGTGTAAAGTGTGAAAGTTGGGTTTTTGGGCTTTTTGTGGCCGTGTGAGGTTCCTGCTTGTTTCAGGGGCCATTTTGGGGTCTAGCACAGCTGCTTTTACATTGTGGGTGAGCCAGTTGTGTTGTGTTGTGTTGTGTTGTGTGTGTGTAAAGTGTGAAAGTTGTTTTTTGGGGCTTTTTGTGGCTGTGTGAGGTTCCTGCTTGTTGCAGGGGCCATTTTGGGTCTAGCACAGCTGCTTTTATATTGTGGGTGAGCCAGTTGATGTTTTTTAATTTTTATTTGGTGTGCGTTGGAAGAGGGGTAGTCTTATATGGCGAGTATAGCCCAAACCCTATATTTTAACAGGAAAATTCAGGGGTCGTCTTATACGCCCAGTGGTCTTATATGCCAGAAAATACGGTATTTTCCCCACACTGGGTCTTTTGCATGCTGCTCCTTAGTCTCCTAATATGCTTTATCCCTCACTGTCAATATATTATGAAACTATTTATTTTTCAGTAGATTTTATCATTTTTTTCCTAGTAGTTAATAAAGATTATGGTGTGATAGGAGGTAATAGAATCCCTGTTGGGTGATGATTCTGAGAGAAACCAATTCCTAAACTATTCCAGTAATTTTACCAACATAAACCAAATTCAAAACACTCCATTGCAATACGTACTCCAATTTGACTGCATTTTAAATTTAAAACCCAAAATAATTTGAAATGATAAAGTAAACTGTACTTCACAAAAGTTTAGCCTCTTATTAAAGTTTGTAAATCTGAAAAGGTGCTACCTAACTCCTGATTTTTGAAATAGAACAGCAAATAACACTAATGCAATGAGTAATGTTCTTACATTCTTTAGTCACCATCTGCTAGTTTGAAGATGTCTTATACTGCTGTTCTGTGGGGTAACTTGCTTCTGTACTACTGTACTGGCTACAAAAGACTGTTACTTTATTGTATAAATAACATTTATTGATACTATAACAGCAAAATAAAAGCAAGCACTATTAAGAGTCTTATCAACAGTTAGATACACAGAGATATACATATCAAATCTTCAGCCACCTGATAAAATTATTTTTAATAGTAAACTTTAAAAAACAAATTAAATTAGTAAACTCAATTACATTAAATTGAAAATATGTATCTGGAGATTGCTGCAAGAAAGGGATGAGATACATACTTTCCAACTCAGCAACTAATTGTAGCACTTCTTATTTTCCTCCATAACTAACAGAATCAATTTCATAATGGCTTCTGAGTGGGCCAAGTGTTTTGTTTTTTGTGTTGCTCAGATGATTCAAGTTCACAAATATTCCATATAACAAGAATGGTTCTGCACAGATAGCACACTGTACATATGACCACTCATTCAGCAATTGTTCAAAGTTATGACAGTGTTGATCAAAGAGACTTACAACTGGATTTTGAAGTTACAAGCATGCCACATGATCGCAAGCTGGTCACTTGGCAATCCATTCGCACTTAGACCAGTTGCCAAGCACTCTTGATCACATGATTACGATTTGCACCCTTCCCTGCCTATTTCCCCAGAAAGTCAGTGGAAAAGCTGACAGAGCAGATTGCAGGTCCTTAGGGTAGTCTACCCATGCACCCTCTCCTGACCGTCTACACTTGTGCTGGCTATTGTGCTAGGGAGTGGGAAAACTAGGGAACAATAATCTGCTAGCAAAATGATACAACTGAATATTGCCTATTTTCACTTGAGATTATAATTTTGTGCCTCTTTGATACATTTTACATTAAAACTATAAATTTAATATATTTCAGAGCAAATTAAAATTTAAAATTAGTGATTTTGAAATAATTACCTTTTATATGTATGTTTAACATAAATTTTATTATTTTTAATAATCATAGGTTCTAAGTTGGTTCCCTTCTGGAGTTGGTTGCAGATGGGAAGGGACCTGCTTTTTATACGACTACGATACCTGACAGGTGCTTGGAAACTTGACACCAGAAAATTGAATTAATTTATTCATCACCAAAGGATTGTTTTGATAAAAAAAATATATGATTTTTTTCAACAGTATAAATTAAGGAGAGAAATGGATCATGCATTACAATTTTTTTTCTGAATTTTCTCCAATGGCCAAAAATACAGCTTTTTTTCAGCCTTTTTCTTTTCAAATACTGAAATCAGTCTTCTTTTAACTTTTGTTTTCCATTTGTACAAAATACTGATGGACATTTAACTTTAGAAAATGGCATTTCACTCTGGATTGCTATTGCAGGGTCTGGATTGCTATTGCAGGGCCTGGTGGCTCAGCAGACTGATAGCATTGTGATTAACACCAGCTGTCTGCAGTTATTGTAAATTCGAATCTCACCAGGCTCAAGGTTGACTCAGCCTTCTATCCTTTCTAAGGTAGGTAAATTGAGGACCCAGTTTGTGGGGGCAATAAGCTGACTTTGTATAAATATACAAAAGTATGAAGGCTATTGCTTAACGCATTGTAAGCTGCCCTGAGTCTCCGGAGAAGGGCGGCATATAAATCAAATTAAAAAAAAAAAATCTACAAAATCTATAAAATTTTTTCTACAAAAAAAGCAAATATAACCATAGCAATGTGTGTGTTTTTGCATACATCACATTTCTTTGCATAAATTATAGTATCAGTTTCCTGAGTACTGTAATACTGTACAGTAGTTATTGTAATCAGTTATATTGCAGTTTATTTTTGTGAAAGAATATTCAGAAATTGGACTTTTACATTAAATTCAATATAAAATTGCTGAACTTTTTCACCATGTTTTAGATTAAAGATACATCTGATGGACAAATTCCTAATCTGCTGGAATTCTGAGCACAAGAAAGTGTTTATAAAACATAACATACTGGCAGTTTTCAATATTGTGGCCCATTAGTTGTCATCATGTGTTGCAACTAATTCTACGAGACGTTCAAGATATTTTTGTGTATCTTTATTGTGGGCAATTTTCTAACTCTGATAACCATTCATTTAAAGCACTCAGGTGTCAAACGCGCCGTGTCACGTTGCCATCACGTGACATATTGCAACATTTTTCCGTTTGTGGAGCTGGGCTGGGCGTGGCCTGTGTGTGACACATTCGGCCCATGGGCCACCAGTTTGACATCCCTGATTTAAAGTGTAGATGAGCTGGTATTTAAAACATTCTTAGATTGTTGCTACAATGAGAATCAGTATGGCATAATGATTTAAGATTTTGCATTGGGGCCAGGAAGTTTCAGGTTCAAAGTCCATTTTCAGCAGGAAAAGTTCATTGGTTGAGTCATTTCTCAGCACAACCTATTTCCTAGCATTGGGGAAAAATAGAAAAGAGAATGTGATATATATTACTTTGAATTCCTACAGGAAAGGTAGGGTATAAAAAAACAAGCCAACTATTAAGGATATAAAGTGTAAAGACTGAAAACCTTACATAAACTATTTTTTGTTCCTTGGGGATGTTTATATAACAGCATTTCTCTTGGAGTTTTCTTACCTCTTTGTGTAATAACCCAATTGATTGAGAATTAATACATTAATCTTTAAAAATGATTACTAAGTTAACCAGGGAAAGGGATAACCTTTTATTGCCTACTCTTGAATGCAACGAAGAAAGTATTCATTGAATTGCAACATTAATTGTAGTGTGTTTGGCTAGACAAGCTTCATTATTATATCATACATAAAATGTAGAGCAGTGAGATTGAACATCCAAGAGCAGGTAACACCCAAGGATCATACTGGCACCTTACAGTGCCTGAAGTAAACAATTCCATAATGAAACAAAAACCGAATGAAAAAACACCGAGTGCCCCATCCCCGGACGGAAGCGTGGGTTCGTTTATCGTTTCACCGCTGCTTTACAGGCACAGCTCGGTAGGCGGAAGCCAAATTTAGTCTTCAATAAGCTAACACCGCTTTTGTAACGGCGTTTCTAAAGCTGTTCTCCCCATGTTGGGGGTGAAGAAAGCCAGGGCACTAGCTCAACTATTACAATCCGCTTGCTTTATGTCCGGACGCCTCACTTAAAAAGTAAACCTGAATCGTGACTTCGCTGCCTGGAGGTGGGGAAACGGGTTCGTCCCCTGACCCACGGGTGGTGGATGGGCGCTCACACTAAAAAGGCGTTGAGAGAATTCTCGGCCGCGCAGAGACGAGTACAGGGTCGTATATAACACTCATTCGCTGTTGTCCCCTTCATTCAGAACCGTCGTATAAACACTTCTCTATGAATTGGGAAAGTATCTGGTCCGCTATGCATTTATGACTTAACTGTATATTTTACGTATTTTGCGTGAGCGTGAAACATATAGAAAAGTTCCTGAGGTACTAGTAGGCAAAAGGATACGTTTGGCTTCCGATGAACCACGAACTGGGAATCCCACCGACTAAATTACTCAAGGCGGACTAGGTTAAATTACCGTTGGCTGGTTGTAATTTTGCATCATGACAACGCAACCTCACGCTTTCTCGCGTTTCCGAGTTTTTGCCTCTCACGAGATGGCTGCCACAACTCTTCCCCCTTTTCCTTTCCCCGGTTGGTCAGCGCGTTTGCAGATACCGCCTTCTCCCTGCGTCGCGCAATGATGAACGCATCAATCCTCATTGCCACGTCTCTTCAGGGCTCTTCAGCATTTACAGCAGCCGCCGCGGGGAAAGTGCGACCCGGAGAGAATTGGGAGGGCTGCGCTACGCCCTCTCCCCGGCCTGGCGGGCTCCCCGGCCTGGCGGGCTGGTGGTGAAGGCGCCCTGCTCATGGTGCTGTTGGAGAGGCGGTGAGTCGGATTTTGAATGTCCGCCTCCTCCTTCTCATCTATCTCCGTGGTGTATGGTGTGTAACCGAGACACCCCGTTGTAACCAAGCACGGCCCTGTGGCTTGGTGTAGTGAAGGCCGCCGTCGTGCTTTGCTTCTGTCGTTGTTGGTCGCCTGAGAGAGTTGTGCTTTATCCCGTTGCCCCTTTATCCGTCGCGTTGGGTTAGTGAACAGTTGCTCTATTCAGTTATTGACCTTCCCACTTCAGGGCTTTCCCGTTTCGCAAACATTTTAGGATTTTCCTTGCTCTTTCTTCCCCTCTTGTGGTTCATTAGCTCTCATTCAAGCAACTTTTTTGTTGAGAAGAATGAAATACTTCTGTAGGAAGTACATTGTCTTACCTAGAAACATCTAACTGCGTTTATCCAGGCAACTAAGATCGGACCTGGTCAGTACTTGGATGTAGGACTTAATGGGAAGTCGAGGGCTACGGGTTAAATTTAGACAGTGGAAAAAACATCCCGACAGAAGACAGTGACAAGCTGCTTCTGTGGTATTATCAAGTAGCAGAATTTGGGTTCCTTTTGAAAGAGATTTACTTTCGTTTATTGTTGATAATGAATATTACTGTTACTGTATGATGTTCTTTTGTTGGAGTCTGCTTAAACTTCTTAGAAATCCAAACTTGCAAGATGTGGCTCCACTGAGTAGTGCCACGCGCATTTAATTGTTTGTATAAAAGTTATGTGACCTGTAGACATTTGGACAGAATACATATCCTTGAGAGTATGAGGTTTACTTTTGAATACAGGTAGTCCTTGAGTTACAATAGTTCATTTAGTGGCCATTCGATGTTAACAAGGAGCTATTTATTTTCTATGGAGAAATGTTCATGTGCTTTTTAAAATAACATTTACTTTATTGTAAATGATCATCAAATTAACAAAAGAGCTATAAATATTTTTTTTCTGAAGTAAATTATGTTTACTTGTTATGTATGTTATGTTCTTTCCTTTTCAAATACAAAAGTACTTACCCTGTTTCCCCAAAATAATACATCCTCTGATAATAAGCCCAATCGGGCATTTGAGCGCATGGCAATAAGGCCAAGCGCTTATTTCAGGTTCAAAAAAAATAAGACAGGGTCTTGTTTTTGGGGAAACACAGTATAAGCAATTTTTACTACTATTGGCTTAACATAGTTGCTTTCATTATGGCTGGAAATGCCACTTGAATGTGTATTATATTTAAAAGTATAGAACTGACAAGCAGTTGGAGATATTATAAAGATACAGTAGTACATAATTTTACATAAACAAATCCATGTCAAGGAAGAATTATGGGATTCAGAATATTACAATATAGAATCTTTAAAATTGATATTGCAATAGATGTGAACAATGCATACCTGAACATAAACTCTGGATTTCAGTAAAGCCAATTTAAAAGATTTTTCAAAGAAAAAACTAAATGGATTGATTGCCTTTTGTTCTTTAGATTCCTTAGTTCCTTTGAAGATCTCATCAACTTCATTCAACCATGACTTTCTGTCAAACTCAAGCCTAAGGATAACACAGTAAAATTCAATTGAATCAAATCCTTTATTTCTTATACCTAATGGATAGATCTTCCCAATATTACAGCTGTAACACTCTACCGTAACAAAAAGTGATTCTAGGATGTGGCTGCCCTGAACCCTATCTAGCTCAGGACTGGGCAGTCTCTTAATTTGGGCTTCTTTCTGGAATGTACCGTGTCCTCCCTGCAAAAGCTTTTGTGTTGCCAAGACTCCCCTCCAGGTGCACCTTCTATCACAACATTTCTTGATGTTCATTTTTGTCTTACTCCATTTCCACTTCATATTTTCAGTAATTCATTCCTTAAATCACTTGATTGGGCTAATGTATATGAGATTGCTGTAAAGATGATATAGAAGCAGTAGCTGATACAAAAAGTAGTGGCAAGATTATTGGCCCTGCCAATATAGAATTGTACCTATATCTAATAGCTGTATTAGTTTTAAATATTGATTGCTGATAGGCTTAAAGGTTCAAAGTTATAGAGTTGGAAAGGACTCGAGAGGTCTTCTAGTCCAACTCATTGTCAAGCAGGAGATCTATACCATTCCAGACAAACAGCTGTCCAATCTCTACTTTAAAACTACTTCAGCTTCTAGAGGAAAACCGTTCCACTGATTGTTCTCACTGACAGGAAATTTCTCCTCAATTCTTGGTTGGAGCTCTCTTTAATGATCTTCTCTACCCATTGCATTTGTCTTGCCTCAGGTGCTTTAGAGAATAACTCTACCTCCTCTTCACTAGGGCACATTCTTAAGTACTAGAAGACAGCTGTCATATCACCCTTAGTTCTCTTTATTAGGCTAGACATACCTGGTTCCTTCAATTGTTCATCATATGGTTTAGCCTTCTGTCCCCTAATCATCTTTGTTGATGTTCTCTGCACTCTTTCTAGAGTCTCAAATCTTTTTTGTATCATGGTGACCAAAACTGGATGCAGTATTCTACATGTGATCTTACTAGTGCAATATAAAGCAGTACTAACATTTCACGTGATCTTAATACTGTCCCTCTGTTGGTGCAGACTACGACTGCATTGGCCTTTTTGGCCATTGTGGAACACTTTGGCTCATACTTAAGTGATTATCCACTAGGACTCCTAGTTTCCTTTCACAATAATGTTGTTGAGCCAGGCACCATTTATACTACAGCTGTGCATTTGGTTTTTCTTGCCTAAGTGTAAACCTTCCTTTTCACAGCACTGATTTGCATTTTATTGGATAGGGCTCAGTTTTCAAGTCTCTCAATATCCTTCTGGATCTTGATTCTATCTTCTAAAGTGTCTAGATGGATAAATAAATAGACTATCATCTATTCCTCCCCCAGCTTGGTGTCATCTGCAGATTTGATGAGTTTCCTTCTATCCCTTTATGTAAATTGTTGAAGGGTACTGGACTAAAAGCCTTGTGGTACTCTGCTACATACTTCCCACCTTGTTGATGTAGTTCCATTAAGAACTACATGTTGAGTGCAGTTGGTTAACCAATTACAAATCCATCTGGTAATGATGCAAACTATACAACATTTTTTCAATCTTACCAAAGTAGGCTGTGTTCTACTTTGTCAAATGCCTTAATGAAGTCCAAGTGTATTACATCCAAAGAATTTCACTGGTCCATTAATTTTGTCACTTGGTCAAAGAATGCAATAAGTTTTGTATGTCATGGTGTTTTTGACAAACTTATGTTGGCTTCTAGTAATAGCTTTGCTTGTTTCTAGGTGTTCGCAGATTCGTTGCTTGATTATCTTTTCCAGGATCTTCCCAGGTATTGATATCAGACTGATTGGTCTGTAGCTTGCTGATTCCATTTTTTTTCCCTTAGGAAAAAATATTTCAGAACCAGTTCTAGAGATTAAAGTAGTAGTTTAGAAAGTGGAAGACCATGAGTTCTAGTCGCTGGGTGATTTTGGGGCAGTCATTCTTTTTCAGCCCAACTTACCTTACAGGATTGTTGTTGTGGGGTCAATAGGAGGAAGATGTGTTGGATATGTTCATCGCCTTGAGCTATTTGTATAAATAATATAAATAAAAAATAAAAAGTACTGGCCATTAGCTGTCAAGCTGTAAAATGGCATCATACCAGGATATATGAGGCTCCTTTCCAGAACTGAATCTGCCTGTCTAATCTGGTCATCAAGAGGGCTTGGTAAAAGTTCCCTGCCTTCATGACACCTGCAGGATGTGGCTAACAAAACAGGCCTTTGTCATAACTCCCACCTTGTGGAATGTTTTCTCCCAGAATATATGTAGTCCCCTCCTTGCTGCAATTTTGGAAACATGTTACATTTTTTATTTCAGTGTACTTTTTGCTGGCTGTGAGTACCTATCTTAGGTTTTTTTGAGTTTTTGTGATTATTTTTTGTTTGTTTTTGATTTATATTGTTTTGATTGACATTATGTTTAGGTTTTTTTTTGGTGATATTGTACACAGCCAGACTCATTTAGAGAGGTTATAAATACTGTAAAATACATAAATTCATAAATATTTGCTCATTCCTCATTCATTCTTTCTGTATGACCAATTAACTCAATGAACTTCTTTTTGTATTGGTCACAGTGCATCCTACTTTATTCAGCTTTTGAATATTTCTCTCGATATACTATCTCTTTTCCACAAACTGAACACAAGCACATTATTATTTAGAGCTATTCTTATTTTTGTTGAGAAACATTCATTGCTTGGAAAAGAGCACTCTGCCATTTTACCATTATATCTTAAACATCTTCATTTTCTATTTACCATGGTACCCAAAGTCATACATTTGTTCTAATTTGTTATTTAAGTTTAGCTTGCAATTGAGGGGGGGGGGTTGTTTATTGCAGTTTTTTTACTAATGTATATATTGTATCATTTGTACAAACTTTGTCCCAAAGGTGCTTTTTCAAGAGGCAATTGGACTTTTTTTGGGGGGGGGTTAAGATGTTTTGCTTCTCATCCAAGAAGCTTCTTCAGCTCTGACTGGATGGAAGAGAATGGAAGGATTTATATTCCTTGCAGACAGCTGGTCATTTACATCCTTTTAGAGAGTCATTGAAGCCACTTAGAGGTTTATCTGTCTCCTCAGGGTCACCTGAGTAGTGCAAATGAGTGTGGATGTCAGGGTTCCAAGGAACAAAATAAAACTCTGAGGCCTGAGGTTCCTCAAAGTTCCAATTTATTAGAGATGTCATGTTGGCACATCTAGAAAACCCAAATCTGAAAGCTTTCAGGTTTTCCACACCCAGCTAACAGTTCACAGCCCTACCCCACACCTACAAGTTCATCACATAGTCCAATCAACTCTTCACATTCAACTGGATACAATCCAGGCAGTCTCCAGCAGGTGCAAGCAAAAGTGTCCTTGAATACAGAATGTTGTTATGACTAACTTTCTACCGCTCCAACAAAAACCCCCTCCCAATTTCCCAGGCTAAAATATGTGGCAGTTAGGAAGCAAAAAGGAAAATTGTCTTCCAAAACTGACAGTGGAGTCTTCTTGGAATTGCTGAAAGGACTATGTTGTAGACTGGAGATAGATGATGTTGTAATCCTCCCACTCTGTTGAGAGAGGCTGTTGAACAGGAATAGGACATCCTCTATCTCCAGTCTATAGCACAGTTCTTCCCCCAGTTCCAAGAAGGCTGCACACTCATTTGCAGTTTGAAATAGTTTAACCCTGTATTCCAAATTATAAATTTTATAATCTGAAACCACTGTCCTAATAGTTCTTTTGCCTCTGGTTTGGTGTATATTACAATGAAATTTTGATATATTGTTTTTAACAAATTAATATTAAAGCATAATGTTTTAAAAACACATGCAGCATCTTTTTAAAATTGTTCCTTTATGATCTTTCCTAAAAGTATATTTACTTTTAATTATTGCTTTTGTCTGTGCAAAGTGTATATGATGAACAGCTGCTGCACTTTCCTTTGTTTTAAAAGGTTCTGTGGCATAATTTGCTTCCTTTTCATTTGTAGAATTGGGAAATTGTTACATAAGAATCAGGGCAAAAAGTGCCAGAGGTGGAAGAGGTGGATTGCTTCCTGGTCATGCCCGGTGGAAGGAGGGGACCCAGCCGGCAGCAACTAAGCCGTTCAGCTTTGCCTTCTCTTCAGACATTAGTTGGTGGGAACTGTGGCAACGGAACAGGTCTGAGAAATAGGTAAAGTCTTAAGTCTAGCATTGTGCTTCTAAATCTATTCCCTGTTATCATTGGATATTGTTATGTCCAAAAAAGTACCAGCCATTGATAATTTGTCCATAACCTTGATTTTTTTTTTTTGTAAACAAGTTTTATTGGGTTTTTTTTCTCCTCTCCCACCTTCACCCACATCTTTCTTTTCTTTTCTTTTTTTTTTTGTACAGTGTTGGTCGTTTCTTATCTTATACAATTAGTCAAATTCAAATACATTTTACTCAATTACAATTTTTACCAATATTGTCTTCCCCCCTTTTCCTTTTTTTTTTTTTGAACATGCCTCAGTATTTCTATACTTGCATACATAAACACCTTCTTCATTTATCCCTAAATTCTAACTTTATCCCTAAATTCTAACTTTACTATTTGTACATATTTATCCTCTTTTATTCTTAAAACAATTCATTCTTTATCTTAATACATTTATATTTGTTTGTTCAGCGCTGCCTTTCTTCCACTTCATCTTTTTTATTGTACAGCAATCTTTCTCCTCACACCTACCTTCTCCCTCTTCTCCTTCCAACTTTCTTTCCCCACCTTCTTCTTCTCTACTTCCCCTTCCCTTCTCCTTCTCCTCCTCCTCTCTTCCCCTGTCTTACCTTCTCTCCTACTCTGATTTCCCTTCCCTTCCTTCCTCCCTACTCTTCCATCCCTCTCTCTCCTTTCTCCTCCCTTCCAATTCTTTTCCCCTCCTTCTTCTCTCTCTATTGCTGTATTCATTTTCAATTTAATATTTTCCATTGTGGAGTCCAGGCAACCCCGATCCCTTGTCTATTTAATTATTAACAATATATTTTATCTTGTTCTCTTTTTTCCTTTGAATCTTTACTCAAATATTTTTCTAATCTTCTAATCCTTATCTTTTTACTTTTACCAATATATTTTTTCTGCTTTACTTCTTGCAAGTATAACATTTAAATCATTTTTATCATTTCAATTTCATTCAGTTTTACATTCAATTTCAATTACTGAATATATTTCTCAAAACATCTTAACAATATATTTCCACTAATTCAAGTATATATTTATAAAGCGCATCTTAATCATTTCTCATTTTACCCAATCCAATTAGTTCTTAAAATATTCTTAATTTGTCTTCTTTTCTCTTTTTAATTATATTTCAAATATATAGTTTAAAATATTTCAGTTATTACATTTCCCCCTACTGATTTATTCATAGTATTAAAACTTATCATTCTATACTCCAATAGTATTGAGCATGTGACATTTGTTACAGTTTTCCCATTGTTTCTACTTTTCTTTTCCTTTTTCGTATCTTTTCATTATTAATGTCAATGTACTTATTTTGTGTTTTAAAATCATGAAATCTTTGCCCTTTATTTCCCATTGCTTTCCATCCCTTTTCCCTCTTTCTTATATTTCCACTGTAAATCCCAGTGTAATCATTTATGTTTTTAGTATTTTTTCTTCTCCGCCGCCCTCTTTTCCTTCTTTGCCTTTTGTTTTCCTTTCTTCTTCCTTTCTTTTGTACTTTAAAATTCTGCACTCTCCTATTGTGCCTTATATTTCCCATTGTTTCTCCTTTCTCTTTCCTTTTTTGTGTCTTTTCATTGTTAATCCCAGTATGTTTATTTTGTATTTTAAAATCATAAAATCTTTTATTTTGTCCTTTATTTCTTATTATTTTACATCTCTTTTCCCTCTTTCTTATCTTTCCACTATAAATCTCAGTGTAATCATTTATTTTTTTTATATTTTTCCTGTTCCACCCTCTTTTCCTTCTTTGTTTCTTTTCTTTTTGTCCATACTTGATATTGCAATTGTTTAATTTTCCATAGTCAGTCTCTTTGTCTTTGTCTTCTTCATTATCCATCTCTCTTTCTTGTTTCTCATTAGTCATTTCCTTCTCTTCAGTGCATTCTAGCTCTGTCTTTACCTTCTCAGATTTCGATTTGCCATGCACATTTATAATCATTTCCTTTATTTCCAAACACATCGTCTTTATCAGTTCATTAAGTTCCTGTTCCATTTTATTCTTTCCTGGTTGATATTATTCCAGTTTTAAGTTGCATCAAGGTCCTTCTTTTATAATCATCAAAGTCTATCCTGTTGTAGGCAAAATGTATCCTTCTTAGTTCTCGCCAGTTATCTTTTTAAAAGTTCAAGGGTTTTTTTCCCCTCGTTTCTTCAAAAGTTTTCTCAAAGTAGACAATTCCATGTCATGCTCTTCCTTCTCCTGCAGATGTCTCTCTATAATCCACAGTTCCACTCGACTAATTAACAAATCGCCATTTTATTTATAATCCACATCCATGTTTATCGAGTCATAAAAGAGAAAAGGCCAGTTTTCACATCTTCTTTCACCTTTATATACCACCAATTAGTTTATAATCCAATCCAGATTGAATCCAAGTTCCAGATTTACATTTACATTTGTCAATCCCTTTTAATTCTTTATTCGGGTTCTTCTATGGCACGCTTGTCATTCTCACTTTCTCTTTCCATCCGCCATCTCCCCCCGCCGCTATTTAGCCACAAATTCCATGCCGGGGTAATTTTAGTGATAGTTTAGTAGTTAAAAATATTTAGAATTTTCTTTTTATTGTCTGTGGGTTAGCCGATCACTCACCCAACACCAGCACTCTATCTAAATCTTCCCTCCTGCACATCGCTTGCTCCAGAGGCTCCAGCTTCATGGCAATATATCCCACCCCCCGTCACTGGCTTGGAGAGAGTTTCTCGGGCTATCCGAGGGACTTGCCTGTCCCTCTTTAGACACCGAGCTGCCTCTCTTTCTTCACTGTCCCTACAGGACAGCTTCTGTCAGAAGACCCCCGGTGTCGGTTCGTCTGGCTGGTTTTTGCCAAGCTCATCGGAGCCCGGCATTTTCCCAGCCAGTCACGCCATGTCGCTTCCGGATTCTCCCAATAATAACCTTGATTTTTAAGGGAGGCTTTTGCCTTGTGTTCAGTGTATTGTTATGATACCTTATTCATCTCAGTATGACCAGAGTAGGACAGCCTTGATGTCTGGGGTCTAACTTGCATGTTTTTGAAGGGATTGAAGGCTCCAATAGACAGGCAGTAATGTAAGTGGACAGTTTAGTTTTTCAAATTGTTTCTGTTTTGGGGAGGGAGGAAAATTTATATAATTTTCATAGGTAGTTTGTTAATCAGTCTTTTAAAACATTTGAAGTTTTGCACAAAAAAAAAAATTGGGCTGCCTGCAATTGCCAAATGCCTATATATTCAGCTAAAACATCTTCCGTTTGGAAGCATCAATAGAAGCATCTGAAACCTGAAGTATTGTTACTAGGAAAAAATGGAATTCCTAAATTTCCAGTTAATACATTGTGTAATGGAAAACTTAATCAGATAATGCAGTATATCATCCATAAAACTTATGCCATAATGTTATTAATCTTTATATCTCCATATGACTGTTCATTACATTAACCTATGTTATTGGGTTTTTAAAAATCTGTTGCAAATCTGATCTATTGTAATCAAACTGATAAACAATTTAACATCTAAATACTAAATACCGTTGTTCAACCAGTGGGTAACAATTATTTTTGGTTTCAGGAATGGTAGTACTCTCAGTCTTTCTGCTCCTCCTATCACTGCCCTGATTACTCCTGAGCCTGTGAGGCACTGCCGAATCCCAGAGCTCCCTGTGGATGGAAACCTTCTATTTGAATTCCTCTTTTTCATCTATTTGCTGGTGTCTCTTTTCATTCAATATATTAATATTTACAAGACCGTCTGGTGGTATCCATATAACCACCCTGCCTCCTGTACATCACTGGTGAGTTAATCTTTGCTTACCCATCCCAGGATTAATGAGTGTCTGTAGTTAATTAATAAATATATGTATATCATCAAGCACTAATCAATACTTCCAATAATCATATGGCAGAAAAAAGAAGGAATTGCAAGAACCTTGTATCTCAGTTTTGTGGACAACATTTATGGGTTGTTAGTTCTTCCCCTCCACCCAATTTCAAACACACTTGAGACACACAACCTTTTTCTTACATTCCACTCTGGGAGAGTCACAGTAAATGTGGCATTTAATGTTATGATATCAACATGATACAAAAAGAAAGGTTGTAATCGGTAGACTATTTATCCCTGATACTTTGTAGAATTTGATTCATTTTGATCTGAAAAATACCTCCCTGTCAACATAGGAAAAAAATGTCTTGATATTCAGGGTTTTGGGAATGTTCCCTCAGATATGCATATCCCAAGAAATTGGGTAAGAGAGCTAGTACGAGCCACAGTGGCGTAGTGGTTATAATGCAGAACTGCAGGCTATGTATGCTGACTGCTGACTGCCTGCAATTTGGCAGTTCGAATTTCACCAGGCTCAAGATTGACTCGGTCTTCCATCCTTCTGAAGTGGGTAAAATGAAGACCCAGATTGTTGGGGGCAATATGCTGACACTGTAAACCACTTAGAGAGGTCTGTAAAGCACTGTGAAGCGATATATAAACCAGTGCTATTGCTGAGTCTCCGGAGAAAGACGGCATATAAATTGAACTAATAAATATCTTAAAAAGTAGAAACAAAATTCAAAATGATTTTGTTAGAATAGAGAAATTAGTTAAAATAATAAGGTAAATAGAAATTCAAAGTTCCTCCCTTAAGAAACATAAATCAAATGTTAGGATATCTGGAGAGTACTGTGTTTCCCCAAAAATAAGACCAGGTCTTATATTTTGGGGGGGGACCAAAAGACCCATTAAGTCTTATTTTCAGGGAATGTCTTATTTTGCAGTTGCCCGCCCTCTCCCTCTTACCATGTTTGCCCGTGGCCGCAACAACTTACAGGGCTTCCCAGGGCAGACACACTTTTCGCCTGGACGGAGAAATGATGGGGACTCGAAGCTTCATCTGCTTGCAAATGGGGCACTTTGAAACGGAGCTAAGCGTGTTGGGATCACCTGTCTCCCCCCACCTCATACCTCTGGCTCCGCTGTGCACTTTTCACCCAGAGGGAGACGAAGCTTCATCTCCTTGCAAATGGGGTGCTTTGAAACAGAGCTAATCACTCCATTTCAAAGCGTCCCATTTGCAAGCAGGAGAAGCTTCGAGTCTCCGTCATTTCTCCATCTGGGTGAAAAGTGTTTGGGCGCATATGGGACGCTTGAGAACAGAGCAAAGTGCCCCATTTGCAAGCAGATGAAGCTTCATCTCCCACTAGGTGAAAAGTACGTGGCGGATGCAGGGACATGAGGGGGAGTCAGGCGATCCCAATGCGCCACCCACTCCATCCCACCCACTGTCTCTCCACTTGCCCGCGCCAAGCAGGCACCCATGCAGTGCGTTGGGGTCGCCTGCCTCCCCCCGTGCCTCTGCCTCCGCCTGCTGCTGTGCAAGCCTGCTGTGAGGCAGGCAGTCGCGCAGCACATCCGGATCGCCTGTTTCCCCCACCCCTGCCTCTGCCTCCTATGCTGTACCAAGGGGTTGGTGTGCTGCAGCTGCTGCCAGACACCGTCGGCCCCCTGTGCACTTGTTTTGTGCTTGCCACACCCATCCCCCCAGGCCTTATTTTTGGGGTAGATCTTATATATTGGGCCCACCCCAAAAAACCAGGCTAGGGCTTATTTTCAGGGAAACATGGTATGTATGACTTTGTAATGTACTTGTGAAAAATATCCTGGAATAATATTTGATTCCTTATTAGTCATCAGTGCAATATAGTTGATAGAAGGCAAATGCAGTTTTAGGTTGTGTCAGCAGAGAATATTGTCATCCCTTGACAGCAGAATATGATCAGGGAAGAAAGAATCACATAGAGTTCCATTAATTAAGTTTAATGTCAATAAATAGTATGTTGGAATACAGAATTTTAGAAACTGAAGAAGCAAGGCTTCCAACTTCATTTATGAGTGAATCCATTATTTTGAATCTTATTCCCAGAAGGGCTTGATATCTTTTTCACAGGTAAGGAAAGCAGTGAGACATCTACCTGCTCTTGATTAGTGATGTTTGAAATCATCCCTTTACTTTCTTAGCATGAATTCTTTTAAGCACAGTTTCTGCCCCTTTATCTGATTTAGTCCTGCCCCATATCAAAGAACTGTGTACAAGTTTGAGCATCACACTTCAACAAAGGACTCAAACAGCAGGTTTTAGAGCAAATAGACTGAAAACTAAGTATTTAATCTCATTTGATGAGATTAAACATTTGGGCATTTCTAATCTTGAGAAGAAAAGACAATTAATGGAGGAAAGCCATGATAGTCCTCTTTCCGTTAATTCAAAATCTTTTCTGTCCCATTTTAGAATGTAAGACACAGAATAATGTATTTTAGAGTACAGGTAATCCTTGATTTACAACAGTTTATTTAGTTACTGCTTGAAGTTACAATATCATTGATTTATGGTTTACAACTGTTACTTACCGTTGCAGCATTCCCGTGGTCATGTGATCAAAATTCAGATGCTTAGCAACTGACTCATATTTATGATGTTGCAGTGTCCCGGGGTCATGTGATCACGTTTTGTGACCTGACAGGCAAAGTCAATGGGGAAACCAGATTCACTTAATAACCATGTTACTAATTTAGCAAGTGCAGTGATTTACTTAACAACTGTGGCAAATTCATTTAAAAACTCACTTAACGAATGTCTCACTTAGCAACAAAAATTTTGGGGTCAATAGTGGTCGTAAATCGAGGATTACTTATAGTATAAAAATAGACATAAACCAATTTATTAATTTAAATAATAAATTCTTGAAAAAAATCATTAAGAACATTATTAACTTGTTGCATCTACATCTTTAAGGAGGGGCATGGAATATGCCTGTAAGCATTGCTACAGGATCCAAAGCATATCTCTGAAAGGCCACTGTCATTGTCCTTGCCCAATCAGATTTTGGTAATTGCTTCTTTGTCTTCACTGTCACATAAAACAAATTGTTGACACAGCAGACCAGGAAGTATTTCTGTCTTGAAAGTTTCTTCATTTAAAATATGCCATATCCTTTCTATTATTAAGTGTATCAGAAATGTATTTGAATCTGTTGGTTTGATAGAAGAAAATCAGATGACAAGCTGAAGTAAATATGCCATTAAGATGCAAACATTTTCAAAAATCAGTGGGCATAATCAATGGTCTGTGAAGAGGATTGTGGAAGGCAAAGATTTCTGGTTGTGAAATGTCCTCAGATGCCATCAGTAGTTTGAGAGTTATTTAAAGGTGTGTATTCAGATCAAGTTTGCATTGCATGCTTACCCATGGTTAACTTTACTATCGTTTTAAGTTACTTTTCTGATCTACATGACATATACCTATACTGTAAAATCTTTTGTCAAGTTCAGTTTGTGATTTTAGAATGTTATATAAACATAACTTTATCAGGTCATACTTTTATGGCATGAGGATTAGTTACAGGGTTGCATGACTCCCTTTCTTCTGTCTTCTGACAATAAAAGTAGTCAACAAGAAAGGACAAAAATTTGTTGGACCTCTGGCTCTTGACAAGTTAGATTCACAGCAGATGTCAGAATAATTGAAATCTCCCCATCATCACAATTCCATGCTTCTTTGAAAGACACAGAAGGACTTGCCCAGGTGGCCTATATGCTTGCCATGCAGACAACACAAGGTGGTGAGAGGCCAGGGGAGGGAGGGAGGACGGAATTTGCCCCACATATCCTTACCTATGTCATATTTGACAGTTATAATCTGGGGTCTTGTGATCTCCTTTTGAGACCTCCTGCCAGGCAATGGGGAAATCCAGATTGATTTAACATCTGTGTTGTAGCTTAACAACTGCAATGATTCCCTTGACAACTGGTAGGAAAGGTTGTAAAATGAGGCAAAACTCATTTTTTGCCTCATTGCAAAAATTGCAAATTCCAACACACACACACACACACACACACACGGACAACAACAATGCCAAATCCCAACCATCATCACACCCAGGGCAACCACAATTGCAAACTCTAAACCCACACACAGGGAAACCACAATGCTCGTGTATGGTACAACAATCAATTTATTCAAATAAAGTCATGTCATCTTCTTCTAGAACATCGTCAAAACTCTCCACACCCTGAATTCCAGTCTGAGTTTCTTGTGACTATTTCGTTTAAAACCATTGGTCCCAAATGCTGATGTCTAGCAATAGAGGTCTCCTTAAAAGAGTACCTCATGCTTGTATGTCATTGGCAACAAAGATGTCACTGATTTTGTCCCATGCATTCTTGACCCAAGTCACAAGCTCTGGCAGACTAGGCTTCATGAAGTTTCCATGCTGGTTCCTCACCATTCTATTCTCAATGTACTCATTGATTTCGCTGTGCAGATGGTCCTTGAATGGCGTGTTTATTGCAATGTCTAGTGTCTGTAGGCTGTCATTCCTGCAGGAATCATTATTTTGTCAATTCTTCTCTGTGCAAGAAACTTTTTCATGTCTTTGGCACGGTGAGTGCTGGCTGAATCCCAGACTACCATACCTCTTTGGCCACCTTGCACAACAAGTGGCAGCATTAACTCGACCCACTTCCTTATAGCTCCTTGTGTGCACCAGGCTTTTTCAGTTTCAAGAACATAAATCCCTGAAACACGTTCAATCTTTTCTTTCTTGCCCTTGGTGATGATTAGAGGTGGGACTTTGCTTCCATCCAGGCGAATTGCCAAAATGCAGGTAACACGTACACTTTCATATCCAGTGGAGCGAATATAAATTGATGTGGCATCCCTCTGATCAATTGTTGTTTGAGCTCCTTGGCCCATAAACACTGCAGTTTCATCCATGGCAACCATGTTGGAGAGCTGGTATTTGG